TCGTGAGATCCGATGTATCGTTTTTCTTCACATCTTACGATTGTATAATTCATATAACATCGCCTCTCCTTTTTTCCACTGCGGGTTAAAGCGTAGGCAATGTTATGTTTTGTCATCAAACTTACATTGATTTTTTCAAATCCTTCTCCAAGGTAGATGTCCATATTTGTAAATGCGATTAATTCATTTGTCAGTCTCTGGTTCACATAAGAAAAAAAATGTTTATACGTTGGCATTCCTGTGTAATGACGGACAACAAGTTTGTGTTTATTTCTTAAATCCAAGGAATTTAGGCGCTCTTCAGCTTTGTTTTGATTAAGAAAGATATGTAAAGCCTTGACATAAGGATGATTTAGATTTCGTTGAAGAGTTTCTTCGATTTCTTTCTGTCTTTCCATCAAACGAGTCGTATTCTTTTCTGTTTGATTTATCGTCCATGGTGGAAAAGCCATTATAGGGTAATTTGTCACGAGATGAAGCTGAGCAGTTGAACAAAGATTTCCCAACACATTGTTTAAATTGATATCCACGTTAGAATTCTCGAAGACCTTTTGCTTGATCATAAAATTGATAGCTATGAAACCTAATACAATTCCAATAATTAGTATTGCCTTAACGCATCTTGACGCAACTTTCTTCATATTTTTCTCTTCATCACGCGCGGATGTTAGTTTCTATGAAGAGTAATACACTTGTTCAGGATATTTGAGACACGAAATGATATCGGCTCTTGTTTTGCATTTAGCTTGCTAACGTTGATTGAGCAACATTGGCTACATGATCAATTTCTTCCATTTCTGTCGTATATGTTTTGAAATTTGATCTAGTGTTTTTATGGCGATGTTTTTACTGTTGATTTTTGTAAATTCGATTTGCTAGTGGACACTTGTGCAGTGATTGATTGTTTGACGGCTAAAACGTCACATGTTATTACATATTACCAGAATCATAGAAGATTTTTGTCGAGTAAAAATTTCTTCGAAATTCGTCCTCTTGCCATAAACGCTATAAACGATTCAATAGTTTTCTTAAATCAAAAGCCCGTGTTTCATAGAAAGATTATCATTTATCATTATGTTCTGAAATGGACCTATTTAATTTACACGCTTTCATCCACTACAACAAATAATTTTATGACATAAACCCACTAAATTTGAATAAAACGTGCAGTGATGGGTCAATATCTGCGTTTGAATTAGCATGTGCAAACTTGGTGCTTAAGAAATAAAATCAATCAATCAATAAATAAAAAAATTCAAATCAATCATTAATTCATTTTAGGCCGAGTTTACACAACGGGCCTGTACCTGACCTAGGACTTACACAGATGCGTTTACACTAAATGACTGACCTAGGACAGTTTTCCGAGGACTATGTGCAACGCTGCGCATAGAACGTCGGTCCCAGGTCACGCAACTAATGTTTATAATTCAAAAATTACTTATCAAATTTAGTTATGATAATTTTTTATGATCATTAAATTCCTAATTTATAATCGTTTGAAGTTCATTGTCAAATTTCTGTTGTATATCCTAAAACTTATATAAATATCACGTTGGTAAACAGATCAGTTGATCTTAACATATCTGGATTTATATTAACTGACTGACTGGTAAGTTGGGTGGCTCGACTGGCTTGACCGCTGATATGTATATTAGACTGGATAACGCATCTCTTTTGAAAACCGGAGCCGGAAGTTGGATCATTTGCTACTGGCTTCATGGGGGTATCAGTCCAACTTTACTATATTTTGGTATTACAAATCACAGTTTTTGCGTTATTATTCTTTTTACAAACTTCTGATCAAGGCAATTTTCATGAGATGTAGAGGAAAACCGGTAGAGAGTTTTAACGATAATTTGGCCGCCATCTTTGAAGCCACTTATGATTGCCGCCATTGATAACCAAGTAACGAAAAAGTGACTTATTTAAAAATATGTTTTAAAGACTGTATTAAGCTAGATGCCTTTTACACACGCTGAACTTTTATGATTACTTTGTTTATTTGCACAAAGATAGGTTTTAAGATGCTTTTTTGCATTTTGTGATTTTTTCTCATTTTCTAGGACAACTTTGATATGAAACTGGTACCAGAAACATTTTGCAATTGAATGAAAGCAAACCATACACAGCTTTCCATTAACACGCTATTTTGGGTACGAAAGTCACACAATCGGAGAAAAACAGTATTTTTTGCGATTTTTTAGAGGAAAAACGATGTTGTTGCTCGATATTTACTCTTCCAGGCCTAAGAACAAAGTTCCGCGTAAGCAAATCTAAATAAAAATACTTAGTATTTACAAACACTTACACTTTAAAACGCTTTGAAAAGCAACTGCATTGAGACAACTTGCTCAAGGTCCTAAATTACAAAAAAATAAGAAATTTATTTATGACTCATTTTGCTGAGCAAACCACAACTTAAAATAGGGCAAAGCATTACTCAAGAATAAAGTAAAACAAAAGTTAAAAAAAAACACGAACCACTAATTTTTATAGCAGTCAATTCTCAAGTCGTGATTATATTTTCTATTCGTCAACAATCAAAGCTGCTGGATAAAATGTATCTTGGGCAGACAATGTTTTCCACAAAAAGTCACTTCTTGTACATGAAAATATACAAGCATTGTAAGTGAAGCATTCAAAATGTTCAGCAAAAGCTGCATAGTTAATAATAGTTGAGAAAAATCTAACCATAAGGCAAAAACTAGTTCTCTTGAACGTAAAAATTAACAGCATCTAGCAAATGTGTTAAGACAAGAAAGTTGATAAACGATGTTGCTATGCATTTACATGCTAAAATGTCTTTCAATATTAATCATTTTTTCAAACATTTATGAAAATTTACGTAGAGTACATACATTTTTGCTATGTTTTATTCAAATTCTGTGTTGCCAATTTGATCATTTGATGAAGCCATTTTGACTGAGTATATTTTCTTGTGATACTTCAAATAATTGTAGGATACGTGTTGTAATAAGTCTGGCATGACTCTGAATACAAATTCAAATAAATTCATGCCCTGATTCTTCAGCTAGAAATGTATTTTCTCATCAAAAACTTCCCGTTTTTCAAATCATGCTGTTCTACAATCGAAGCTTTGATCAACAAGCAGCAGTGTCATGCATGTGACACAGTGCATGCGAGATATACACGAAGCGTGAAAACTTTTTAAAACGACTTCCTTCAGTCACTGGGTTTTTGTACACTAGTTATGGTTCCAGGTATTTTTACATTTCACTGATTTCGACTGACAGCCAACTGAGCTAACATAGTCAAGCTTAATGTCTGAATTGTTGTCTTCTGACAGAAAAATGACCTGCTTCAAACTCTTGGTGTATAGCAAAATCTGTTTTTCGAAGTTTTTTCATGGTTACCAGGTAGCATGTCAGAAAACGTGCGTAGTTGGGACGATCATAGTCAATCATCTAGGGAGGCATGTTTTCTGTCGATTGCAGATGCATTTTCCATTTCCCGAGATTGATTGATCTTGAAAAGTCGAGTAATATCTGCACCATACGCAAAAATGGCTAACGTACCGATTCTGTTGGACCAAGAGAACCATTTAAGACAGAATCTTCATAATTTTGTAACTCATCGAGCAGATTGGCGTGATGTCGGCTAAGGTTTTCTAAGAGTTGCTTTGTTGGAGAGGAATGGAATTTTTCTAACTCAACTGAGTTGACTAATCTTTCATAAAGCTCATTCGTCTGCTCTGTTTGATCGTTTTTTGAATGATTAAAACTATCAATCATAAGTCTTTTGAAAGCCTCGTACAGGTATTTTAGGATTCGCATTGCGTTGTTACAATGCTTTCCTTTAAGCATTTGGTCAACGGAAGATTCACCAAGAAGATTTGCCTCGATTACGATGTCGCGAAGACCAGCATCAGCAAACCTGGATGAATATACACATTGTATGAAACCCGCCAAGCCACAAAACAACGAACTGCTTAAGATCTATGTACCTTGGATTCATCATAACTTCCACAACCTTAGCGTATATTGACATATCTAGCACCACATCTGTTTCGATCAAACCAAGTTTTTCTGTCTTCACCTTTGATTGACTGAGGAGTTCCAGAACAGTATCATGGGACGTTGGAGATTTGTTAATCGACAGCAGATATTCAATATGATGGTAGATGTTGCTGTCGTTGTCGCACAACAAATAATAAGCCTGTCCAACTAGGTATCTGCTGCTCGAAATTTGTTTGATTGACGTGAGTTCTGGCGATGATCCAAAGCGTATCAAAAATGTTTGAAAGTTTTACTTCGTCTGTGTGCATGCTTAGCTGAATGCTAGTCGTGGCTTCTGTGTTTTTTCGCTTCACCTGAACGTTTGAAGGTATCTCTGTTAGAAGAGATTAGAACTTTTTCATTTTTTGTTTCATGCATGACTGTGAAGTTACTAAGCCGTCTACAACAGAGGGATGGGGTTCATTTATTACAACATCTGATGGCTGGATGACAATGCCATTCGTACAGTGCAAACTGAGGTCTTTGAGACTTTCGTGATTTATGTCGTTGTTACCTCAAACAAAAGTGATGAATTGAGATGGCTGAATAATGGCTGGAAAGAAGGACCTGTGAACTTGGTCTTTTGAATGTTTCATTGCCAGAGAAGTTTCAAGAATAAGCACATCATCATAAGACATCCCGTGGCCAAACGTTTGGGTCCAGTTGATGACTATTTTGGAGCCAGTCTTTCTATTGATGCAGAAAGGAAAGGTTGTATGTTTTGACTTTTTTTCCGACCATTGTTGTTGGCGTGGTAGATTAGATCTCGTCCAATTGAAGACACTAAACGCATCACCTTTACGGATTTCGTTGATTTATTAGTGAGGACTCCTTTAAAAAAACATGTTGTTCACCACAGAATTTCCGTTTCTATGGACAGAAACTCGTGCTCTGGTTGTGGCCAACTTCTAAAAGTAATGGGAGTTTCCAATAATTCTTTACATATTTCATGGGCAACTTGTAACGTTTTGTCCTCCAGCGATAAGTCGTCCCATTTATAGTTCAATAACTTTGCCTTAACAATACTTCAACTAACTGCGCCTTTTCAACAATGTTATCAAACAAATACTCACTGCCGTACTTTAGAAACCAAAACCCAACTTTTGAACCAAAAAATTTCTTGATCTTATCTTTAAGTCTCTGTATTTTTGGTGAATTAAGGTGATGTTCAGCACCAAATAAACGTTCTCCAATTTCTAAATATTTTTTAGTGAAATAAACCATCCGCAAAACTTCACATCCAAGGATTACCTTCTCTTCGATGACTGCAGATAGCTCCTGAAAAACGGTTTCTGCATTGCTTGAAGCCACTGGTTTTGTCTTGCGCTTTTTGCAGACTTCCCTATAACACGATCTGTGGTAAAAATATTTCTTTACTAATATCGTCTGCCATTCTGAATTCCCAACCTCTGTTTGCAAATGTGGAAAATGTAATAATAGAGCAGCATTGTGCAAAGATCGTGCACCATCCTCAGTCTCACATTTTTCCAATTGCTCATAACCACTTCCACGTTTTGCTATTTTTTTCCTTTCACGTACACAACACTCGCGATCTGCAAATATCTTACCTATACATATGTTAACATAAGCAACTCAATCAACTGTAAGTGTTAATTATATTTAGCATCTTACTGATAAATAGACATTCGCACATTATACCTCTTTGATCTGTTTTTCTTGATGACTCTCGCTGTCGCTCACGTGTAGGCTTTTGACTTTTAATTTGCGTGAGCATATTTTTCATAACATTTTTGATGATATCCGTACTATGGTGAGGAAAGATCTTTGCCAAAAGAATCGATTATGGCAATAACTGTTTTATCGTCACGTTTCTTTGCAGCTTTGTAGATAGATTTTTTAGACGTTTCAAAGAACACATAGACGATTCACGTGGACTCTTCCGTGCACTGAAGAATGCACCCGATAAATGTTTCATTTGATGCAAAGTTTTTTGTGTTTTTGTCGGTGAAATACTTACCTCAACTTCAAACTCTGTGTTTTTTTTTGTTTTCTAGACATAATTAGTTTGACAAGTGGCTTTAAAAATCGTATTTTTAAAGCATGCAACCAATGCAACATGCCCTGTAAACATATAAAATCTAGGTAGTTTATATCAAATATGCCTACTGCCGCTGATCAAAACAGCAAAGCGTCACTTCTTTCTGCAAAATTATTCCAAACTCATGGCGCTTCTTGAAACAAAACAAATGCTGTCAGTAAAAGTTATTAGTCAGCTTTCTCAAGAACATTTATGCTCACCAACTTATTCAGATGGTTTTTAAAGGTGTTTAACTACAATTCTAGCATAAAATGAAATTGCCCCTAGGTATGGTAAGTTTTTACTCAATTTTCTTCACTTATCTGCCTGCCTATATGGAAGCATAAAGGATTTACATGCATAAAATTATATGCTCCTTGCCAGAATCCTTGCATCAGTTCCATGATTACATCATGTTTTTTCGTTGTCTTTCATTCACTTAGAGCTGAATTTACTAGTTATCGGACTCCTCCAAAGTCCTATTGTGACGAGAAAGGCAAAACGCCACTATTTAAGGTGACAAATCCCACAATAAGTACGACTAAAATCTGAATCTTCTGTGTTCATACACAATTAAAGAGTTTATAGTAAAGCTATGTTTTTTTAGTTGTTTGATGAAATCGGCTTTTTGAATTTGTTTCAAACTTGGTTTCAAACTCAGACATCTTGTAATTAGGTTCTGAATTTTTTTGTCATGCGTTTCATCAACAGATATACTTTGCTACGTTAACAT